CTCGCTGCCTCGCATTTGCCCCTCGAGATGGGAGACGCGCAGCGAGCGGACCGAACAGCGTGACGCACGGCGGCGTGAATTTGCGCAACGGGACCGACGGAGATGAATAATGCAGCGACGGGGTGGTGATGGGTGGGAGGCGGGCGGGGGGCGGGGGGCAGCTCGAGGAGCCAGTAAGATGATCGAGGAGATCGGGAGTGGCGGCATCTGGATTGCACATCGGTGGGGGGGTGAGAGGCACGGGGGGGGGAGTGGAAAGAGGGGGGGCCAAGGACGTGGCTTAGGGAGCGACATTGGCCCCTGTCGGCCCGGCCCGAGTGGACCATTTTACTTTCTCCAGAAAGTTAAATTGCCGCGCCGTGCGTCATCGCGCCAGCTTTTCGCTGCTCTAACGAGGGTCGGGGTCGTGGTTATGCGTGGGGTGGGGCGGTGGCGCACTGCGCTGTGCTGCACTACGAACCCGGCAAACCCAAATTCGATTCCCCCGCCGTGGCTAACCGGTACTGCCCCCCCCCCTCCGCCGACCGACCTGCTGTCACCGACTCGCACTCACCAGCGTGGGTGGTGAAGCACGGTGAAAACTACAATCGTTAATTTGAGGTTATTCGGCATAGTATACTGTGAGAAGTTGAGCCTGTTCGGAGAAAGTGTTTTGGCAAGCAGTAATTGATCACAGTGTTTGGCAAACAGTAATTGATCAAAGTGTTTGGCAAGCAGTAATTGATCAAATCAGTAATTGATCAAAGCGGTCTTAAAAAGTAACCTTGTATGTATGTTGAATTTCTTTCGCGCCGTACATAGCCAACCATCCTTATTGGAGGTGCGGGGGAAGGTCAACAAACTTAACATAAAAAAACTGTTATAAAGAGTTTTCAATCTAGATTTAAAATTCAATTTTCAGTTCAGTTCATTTATTTGGTATAGCCCTGTGAGCCATTTGGCTCTTGAATCGGGAGCAACCGCAACAAACAAAAACATGAACAAGAAACATCTTAAAGTGACTATGCGCAAACAGAAAAATCCGGGAGAACAAAGTGACAGAGCACGATTTGAACGAGAATATTGGCCCAAGTGGACCCAAGCCCACACTGAGCCAGTGATGCTGATGATAATAAGAGTAATGGTAGCTGCCTCCAAAGATACCACTGCTGTAGCCAAAAAGTAACTTGACTCCAATTCTCTCTGAAATTCAAACTTTTGTTCCCACTCCTAGTGCCCGTTTGACACGTCGATAACAAAACGTCAAATTGTGTTTTAACAGCACGGCCGGTGCGATCGTCCGCCCGTATTGACGACGAGTCACGCTCCTGCTCTCTCATCCTCCGCACGGGACGATCCCCCCCCCCCCCCCCCCGACATCGATCACATTCCTTGCGCCATTTGGTTTGGCTTTTGCGATTCGGCCGGGCGGCTTCAAAAAGAAATCACCCGCCGCACGTCACCGCCAAGTGTGGAGGATGCGTAGCGGACGCGACGATAATTTGTACAATCGTACATCGCCACGATCCATTGCACCGCCCCTCCCCCCGCCAGCCCACCCTGGCGGCCCGTCCTTCCTCTGCCCCTCTCCGCTCACCTCCTCCCCCGCCACACACCTCGTGTTGCCACCTTTGCAGTTTAAGAAACCGTCGCTCGTCATGCAAAGAAGAACATCTCGCAAGACAGCCAGAGGGAAGAACTGCATGTGCATGCGTTGTCTTGTGTGGTGAATTGTTTGATGCAACTGATAACAGCCGCCACTCATAGTCCATTTGGGAAGGCTTGCAGACTTCCACGGCGCAGCAGCTGTCCCGAAAAGAGGGCGATCCTGGGGAAACAACCAGTACAGGTGGCAACCCTAGCCACATCTCCTGCCAACCCGCTGTGCGTGCATATGTGCGTGCGTATGTGTACGTGTGGTCTCAATCCCTAGTGGCGATGTTTACACACCGCACCAGGTAATCAATTTGAGGCTGAGTCGACCTAAGGGAGGCCCGGAACTGGTTCAGATAATCGTCACTGGTGTCGGTGGCCATGAGCGGGAATCGAACTCGGGTCGCCGGGTTTGTAGCGCGGTGCTAGCCACCCACCCCTCCGTCTACTATCGTTTCGGCCTTCATAGGTGTCACTTGCTAACAGCACAACACTTGCCCCATAAAAGTCTGTTTAGGCTACACGGGGGGTACCTTTGTCTTTGTACGTGTGGTGTGGCCAAGCAGTAGGTCAATTCCCATCTTGTTCACGGAGTTGCAAACGGCAGGAGCTGGCACAGCGAGGCCCCAGCGAGTGCTCATAAACCCCACCTAATTATTCGTTCTATGGAACCTCACGCACGCTCACAAGGCCACACGCGGTGCACAAGGGTGAGAGCGTTGGCGTTTGTTGCCAGCGCCCGGGCAGTATGGGACACTGCGTACCGTCCGCAGTGTGTGCCCTCTATAGTGTTTACCATCTATTATAGTGTGTACCGTCCACCTCGTGTACCGTTCACACTGCGTACCGTCCGCAGTGTGTGGCATCTCAAAGTTGGCTGACGGTGGGCCTCTTGCGAAACTCTTCGTCGCAGTCTTTAGACGCCGACTTGAATTTGCTTTATTTGCGGTGTAAAAAAATTGAAATTGATCTCATTTCTAAATATTGACGGACGGCTACCACCGCCGGCACCGTAACAGCCGCCGGCATCGCCGCGGCGGCAAACTCGGCTTGGGGGAGAGACCCCGACAACGCAAATCGAATCAACTCGCTCGGAGACAGGCTCCCGCACCCCCGGCGTCAGGCGGGACTCGGAACGGGCCTTGAGCGAGTGTGTGAACAACGACGAGAAAAAAAAACAACAATAACCCATCGCTCTCGAGCTTCGGGGGGTGGTGCTGATGTAATTTCACTGGCGGCCTCCGAGGTGGTGTTTACTTGGCGCGTTGAGATTATCGCACGAGCGAGCCAATGCGCGAGAATAAATCCCCAAACGTGCCCGCTGGCAGCGGCAGCGGCAGCAGCAGCGGCCGAACATTTTGTACGTACGTACGTTGAACTTCTTTCGCACCGTATGTAGCCAACCGTGCTAATCGATGGTGCGGGGGAGGGACAACTCCGTCAACAAACTTTTACCTCCTTACCCCCGCCTGCCCGCCGTCGCTGGCAGCACTTCGCTGTTGCTGCTGCTGCTGCTGCACCGTTTGTATTTGAATTTAGTTTCTGTATTATTGCATTTTTTTGTCATCTCGAAATCCAGTTTGTGCGCCGCTGCTCGACCGTTCTCCCTCACTCCTCATCGTGCCCGTACTTTTTCCCCCCCTTCGTTCCGCTCGGCCTTGTTTATTTTCGCGGAGACTGAGCTCTGCACTTCTGACACAGCGCCGCCCCCCCCCCCCACCGCCTCCCGGCTGTAGCGTGGTTGGGGAGACCGCGAGAGAGTGAAAGTAGCATGCGTCGTCTCCCGCACGGCGTGGGTTCATCGCAAGGCGTGGGGCGATTGCACGTATTTTTTTACGCTGTGGGCGGCAGCACATACAAGACACACAAACTACGATAAAGTATTTTTTGTTTATTTTACCAGGAAGGCCCATTGAGCTACGTAGCTCTTTTTCAGAAGTGACCTGGCCACAAATAATAGCTCAACGAAGCGGCTTATCACGTGGACATCCGTAGCAGCCAAATACTCTTTAACACGTGATGTTGATTCTAAATGTGGAGGGAAAAACTGGAGTACCCGGAGAAAAATCCACGCGTGCATGGGGAGAGAGAGCATGCAAACTCCAATATACAGGAGTCAGGTGTTGGGATTGAACCCAGGCACTCCTGTATACCAGGCGAGGTCGTTAACATCTTGCCACCGAGGCGCCCTTTTGGGCCCCCTCAGTGAGTTGGTATTCGCGTGCCTCGTCTGATACTTCACATGGGCCGGCCTCAGCTCGTCGTTATCCCCTGCCCCCCCCCCACCCCATTAACTTAAAATTGGTTCCCGGCATGCCTCATCACCGGTAGCCGCTTTCGCCAGGCAATATGGCACGAGGCGGGCACGGCAGCGAGGAGGCCAATCGCGAGCGAGCGTTCTTGATCACATGGCTTATCCGAAACGACGCGCGGCGTGTGTAGGGCTCACCGGGCGATGCGTGTTCCTCACAGCGAACGTGATTTTAGAAAAATAATCCGCTGCGCGATTGCGCGCGTCACTTCCAGAGGGCCCAAGGGGATTCAGTTGTAAGTGAAACAACCGATCTGCTGCTCCGTGTGCGTGTGCGATTGTACCACTGGTTTTAATCGGCAAATGAATGATTTGCTCTGTTGTTACAAAGCTATACGCAGCACGTAAGTCAGAGAGTGATTCACGTGTGGAAAATAATGAGCTCATGTGTACGGGTAATGGGTGTGGCGGTAGCGTATTTGGTTGGTGTACCGTTTTACGAACCTGGCAACCTGAGTTTGATTCTCAGCCACTCCTGACGGCAGTGATGAGTGAAATCTGAACCGCCACCTCCCACTTCACCAGTCGCCTCGACCAGGGTGGTGAAATATGGTCAAGCAAGCCTATTGCGGCATGAATGAAGACATGAGTTGACCCCTAGCAAGGGTATAATTTTGCGACCTCCCAAACAGTGAGTCGCAATTTCTAAACCATGGTGCCACCCAACCAGAATGGAGCGTTAACTGTGTTACCCGCCAACAGCGGTCATACGATGTCGAGAATGGCACCCACCATAGGAATGTGGAATTTCACAATGACCACTCGGAATGGAGCTCCCTTTCGGAGCTTTTCCAGTAGGGAACTCTCGGAAGGGGGCTCGCTCGGGGGAGCTTTGCCATGAGGGCCCCCGAGGAAGGGGGTTCGCTTGGGGGGGCTTTGCCAGGAGGGCCCCCTAGCCAGGGGTTGGCACTCGAGGGTGGATGCTGCCACACGCTCTCGGCGAGCGTTCCCACACTCGACTCGGCGTGGGGGCGGTGACTCTTTACGCGTCCTTCTGAACTCGCCCGCTGCCCTTTCCCCCCAACCTCCCCCCATCCACCCTCCGACCCCCCCGTAGGTCCAGGCCGACCCGTAGGGGCGCGGCTCAACCGGAGCCCACCACCGCATCCCGCCAGAGCCTCCGGAAGGCCGCACGCGGCGGCGGCGGCAGCGGCAACAGCGACGACACCTTGGAGCTGCTGTACGACTTCTAGGCGCGCCCGAGCGACGGTGAGCGATGATGGCCTTCAGGTTTAAATCTCGCCTCTTAAAAGCCAAGCCCTCGGAAACGCTTGGCATATCTGTAACGCCCACGTAATAGCAACGCGCGGCCCCGCTAAGACGTGTCGGGTTCCGTGCATTAGTGTGCACGCCGGTGTTTTGCCGCGAGTTACCATTGGCGCCCGCTTGGTTTATTTTCTTTTTTTGGGGTCGGTGGTGCAGACGACGATTATGATGATGATGACGACGACGATGATGACGGTGATGAATTTGGGGTCGAACGAAAGAGCTCGTATCGTTCGAGCTGCGCGGCGACATTCCTCTTTGCGAGCCCCGCGTCGGAGGGGTAGCGGTTTGTTAGGAGTGTGCACAGCCAGCGGGGTGGGGGGGGGCGACGTAGATTGCGAGACGCAAGGTAAATTTAATTCTGCTGGCTGAGCCGTGGTGCTGTTAGCGAGCACCTATTAAGGCCGGCGTGAGGCACAAGGTGGCGGTGGTGGTGGTGGCAGTGGCGGCGGTGGTGGTGGAGTCGGCACAACACCTGCCCCCTCTCGCTGCTGATGTTCACACATAGTGCCAGGTGTCCACTTAGGGTCTGAGTAAATCTACAAATGCCACAAGCCGCGATAAATTACCAATACTTACGACTGGGTTCGTAAGGCAGTGGGATGATCGTTATACCACCACTCGCCTATCTAATGACCATCGCCCATGAGCTATCCACTGCTGGATGAAGGACTCCCCCCACACCGTTTTCTCCTTTGGATGCCACGATCGTTAGCCCAACTCCCCTCCACGTACGTGAATGTAACTCTCGGGGGTGAGGAGGGGTGGCGCAGTGGTTCACGCACTGCGCGACCAACCTGGCGACCCGAGTTTGACACCCGGACACGGCTAACATCATCGACAGCTGCTGCCTGAACAGGTCCTGGGGCTCTCCCTTCACCAACCCGCTCAGAACCATGATGGTGAAGTATGGTCAAAAAAATCCCCCACTCCGCCCCGCCCACCATGACCAACAACGAAGCCCTTCAATCAGCGTCAGAATCACACGTCTGCAATTCAACGATTAAACATTGGTATCCACAGTTACGTACTTTACGTGCACTCCCGCGGGTGCAGTTTGGCATGTTTACATATGAAGAGAATATGTTTTGTCGTGAGTCATGTTTCTGTCAGGCACGGCCACCAGCGAACTCCGTGTGTGAATCGTTTGTCTTCTGCCTCCGCTGTGACCATGTGCCCCTCACCCGGCGTCCCTCCCCTACGCGCCCCCAGCCCCCTCCAGCTCCCCCCGCGTGTGCGCCGCGTCTCTCCGCAGCCCCCCAAGAGGAGTGTTGGGCGGCGGCGCGGGTGTTCAGCCGCTCGGGTGACGGCGGCCCTCGGGAGCGCGCGCCAGCGCCCGTCCATCGCCATCGTCGCCGCCAGGTAGCCGGCTAAGAGCTACGGCGACGGGAGAAGACACGAAGGGTGGCGGGCGGGCGGGGGGGGGGGAGCACCCTTGTGGGGGGTCTGACTGGGGTTCTTGGCACGGGTGTCTGAATGAGGTTGTCCCTTTATATAAGTCTCCCCAACCACACCGCCTACCGCCTCTTCATGTCTCCCCCGCCGAAGGCTCCCTTCTCCGGGTTCGCGTACCAAATGGTGCCCGTGGGTGGCGGTCAGGGGGGGGGGTCGGTAGAGCGCACGCTGCCTTCGGCCTTGCCGCACGGCCAGCGGGGGAGCGACGTTTTGTTTCCCGTCGGCCGACCGGATCAACCTCTCTGTGTTTGTGTGAACGAACGAGGGTGCGTGTGTGCGAGTGTGCGTGCCTGCGGAAAGTGTGCGCGTGAACGAACGAGCGTGCGAGGGTGCGTGCATGCGGGAGCGTGCGTGTGATTGATGGAACGTCGTCTCGGTTCTCCGCCGGAGGTCCAAGCCGGAGCACCGTAGCCCTCCCGTGAGCCGTGCGATCTGGCAACACCGCCGTACGGTATTATTGGTGGAGCGCCACGTTTTATGCACACGCGCACGTACACGCGCGCGTACACGCACGTACGCACGCGCGCGCACGGCCGACTGCACGCGGTGAATGAATTGGCAAAGTTCATCTGTCAGCAAGCAATAACGTGTTCTTAACCTGCCCTCCCACTAAATTGTTCTTGATGGAGAGGAGCCAGTGTTTGTCTGAGCGCGGTCTCGCTGACGGTTATTGTGATTATTACTTTGCGGTTTTTGCTGTTCTCCAGGAGAAGTTGATTCAATGTCGACGGGTGAGAGGGGTGAGGTCGACATAGGAGAGGGGTGAGGTCGACCGATGAGACGCGAGGTAGACGCGAGGGCAGCTCCAAACCTGGCGAGGCTGAGCGTCTGCGTGCCCCGCTGAGCAGCGGTGCCGCTCCACTTGCGCTGGCAGGGAACGCCAGACCGCCGCTCCCCACGTGTCCCCAGGGGAGGGGGGAGGGGGGAGGTGGGGGAGTTCAGAGGTCACCGTGGCTAATCTTCCTTATTGCTGGCGTCGCAATGACAGGCAGAGGCGATCCGTGTGCCCTGCCAACTGGGCTCATTGCCTTTGTCTGCACGCCGAACGTGCAGACTGAGAGGGGCTTTTAAAATGCGAGCGGCTCGCTGGCATCGTGGCTCCCCTGGCATCGCCGTTGCCTTGGCCTGCTGGCGCGTGCCCGCGTGTGCGTCTCTTTCGCTTCTACGCGAGACGGTTCGTCGCACAGCACTGGCGGCCGTGGCCCATTCTGCGTGACGTTAATGAGCCGGGTTGACACAACAGTTTTGACCAAGCCGCTAATTCCGCACAATGAGACGGAATTATTTCTCTGCCTTTCTCGCGACATTACACGCGCAGTTTTCGTGTTTCTTCTTCGGCGGTATGGCCACAACTGACGTGTTTTCTTCACGTGGCGAGGTTAACGTCTCTTTTCGCAGCGGTGTCATCCGTCGCCTGCCGTACGTTGCTGTTGGTGTGAGCGAGCTGCTGATAGTTGGTATGTGAACAAGACCTGGACATTGCCGAGGTGAACTGAGCCCAAATCGCCATTGCTGGTGCATTATGGGAACATCAGCCCCAGGAAGACAAAGGCTGCTGGCCGTATTACTGGCCCACTTGTAGAGGTGCAACAATTGACGTGCCGCTCACGCTCGCGATTAATCATGGTCAGGAATCATCCATCGCGATGTTGATTGTTGTTGTTTTTTTACATCGTGGTGAGTGGTAGCAGCCTCTCGTGGCAACAGGGCTCCCCCATGGACCCCCATCGCGCATTACAACATGTACAAATAGAAAATCCTCGATTCTTACATGCGCTATGCAGTGTGTCGTTATCGCGAGCTTTCAGAATTGAAACCAGTCGGTGAATTGACGCCTCGTTACGACACTGCTGGCCAAAACCGCTGACGCGTATGCCATGCCGGACTTAAACTAAACTAAAACTATTATTTTACCAGGTAAGGCCCACTGAGCCCTATAGCTTTTGTCAGAAGCGGCCTGGTCACAATATGATAGCTTAACGAGAAGTATGCTTATGACGTGGAAATGTATTGCAGCTAGATACTCTTAAACGCATGTTTCTAAATGTGGAGGGAAAAACCGAGAGAACATGCAAACTCCAAATACACAGGGGTCAGAGTCGGGATCGAACCCACGACCTCCTGCATACCAGGCGAGGTAGTTAACATCTCCTAGCCACCGTGATGATGAGAGAGAGAGACGAACCCACGACCTCCTGCATACCAGGCGAGCTAGTTAACATCTCGCCACCGTGATTTGTCACACGGATGATTCCGTTTAGGCAGTTGCCCGCCTATTTTACAAGGGAGACCCATGGTGTGTGAGCACAGCAAATGTTTATTAATAGGTGCTCGCAAACAGCACTTGCTCCCACGAGCCTCATGAAGCTCAACAAATTCACCTTCCCTGTCTTCTCATCATCGGACAACGGAACGTATCGCAGAGTTTCGCACGTGATTTCCGTCGGGAAAGAAAATTGATCTGATAATCGCGTCGACCTAAAAAAAAAAAACGCGACAACCTATCCTATTAAAAGTTCCGTACAGGTTTCCCTCGCTTTATGCGGATTCGGTTTGTGTGATTTGCGCTGTATATGCAACTCACCTACTTCCCCCTCCACCCCCAAAGGTTCGCGACATACGGTTTGAATTCACTCATGCGGCTATGCGGTCGGACGTGGGACAACCATTGTGTGTACTGTGTCCTGCGTGCATACTGTGTGTGTACTGTGCGTGTACTGTGCGTACTGTGTGCGCTCTTCGGTAGGCAGCTCTCTCATACAGAGATACATAGAGGTACAAAGACAAAGATCCCCCGTATAGCCTTAACAGACTGTTGAGACAAGTGCTGTCAGCGAACACCTATGAAGGCCGGCACGGCACACGAGGAGGTGGGTGGCCAGCACCACGCCTGGCTGCCTTTGTCTCCCTCGTGTCGATATTTACGACACACCGCACCAGGTACTCAATTTGAGGCTAAGTCGACCTAGGGGAGGCCCAGGACCGGTTCAGATAATCCTCACTGGCGTTGGCTTTGAGCGATGCAACATTGTGCGCGTGTGTACCGTGCGTCACTGTGGGTTGGGTGACTGCGCGATCCACGCTACTCAGTTTCGCTTTGTGCGCCCTGCTCTCGCGAACGCGGCTGTCTGGGCAGGGCGGGGAGGGGGGGAACCCGGGCCACGGCAGGGAGAGAGAAAAAGTGCGTTTTGAATGTTGTTCCAGTAAGTGGTAATGAGGTGGACAAAGAGCACCGTTGTTAGGCCGGCCCGCTGGGGTTGGATCCGGGGGGTGTGCGGCTGCGGCTGCGGGAGGTGGTGGCGCTGGTTGGAGAAGAAGGAGCCGGGGGAGGAGGAAAGGTGTGCGATGCTCGCCGCCAACGCCGCCGCTGCTGCTGCTGGACTTCGTGGCCCAGTGTTCTGTGAGGCTGGGGGTTGGGGGGCTGTGGCGGGAGGGGGCCGTTGGGGGGGGGGGGGGCTGCCCGAACTTGGGTTGCGGTGCCGAGCGGCATTTCTTACAAACCCAATAAATTAGCTAAGTTTTCCCACCACCACCGCCGCTGCTGCCCCACACCTGCTGCTCCCCCCCCTCCCCGCCGTTACGCGACACGACCTCTGTTGCAGCGGAGGGAACCACCACGCCGGAGACTGTCCTTCACCGAGGAGATGGAACCACCACGAGATCGGTTCCCGCGGTGCAGCGGCTGGATATGGAGCGTTGCATCGAGGCCTGGCCGTGAAGGGTTGGCGACGGCTTGCGGAGGACTTATGGGGAGATCATGGCTGCTGATGATGACTGTCATCGTCGTATCCTAATTGTGTAATCAGAATGACGTGATGAGATCAATAAATGTCCTGGAATTGTCGCTGCCGGAAGTGTCGTCGCTCCATCTGCTCAGTGGACGTCATCTCGGATTTGTCTTCAGAAAGATAAAAAAAACCTAAACTACACCACGGGTCACTTGAATCGGCCTCGCACGTTCCAACGACCTTGTATCTGAGATCATCTTCTGGATGATGCCTTCGTAGAACGACTTCTCATTACCCTTTAATTGCCCGTTAACTACACTAGGTGGTGCACCTTCCCACATGCCCGGCGTGTACTTCCGATATTAGGAAGCCGCTGGAGCAATGCACTTTTAAATCTCGGTTGAAAACTCGTTCGTTAGCACGGTTGGCTAAGTACGCCGTGCGAAGGAAGGTCAACACACACACAGACTCACACAGAGACCCATAGATTGTTGTCCTTTCCCCGCGCCTCCGGTTAGCACGGTCGGCTACGTATACGGTGGGCGAAGGAAGTTCAATATACAGGCTGTACAAGGTGGGCCAAAGGTCAGGACACACAGGGTTATATTTATTCCAACAAATAACATGGGGTTAACTCGTTTATTTTAAGGCTTGTTCCAACTGATTTACATTAATGCATGAATTATCTTTTTTAATAAATTCAGGATTGTTTTTTTTTTGTAAAAATAACTCGTGTCAATCGGAACGGTCATCAACCGTGTTTTGTTGTCTCTTTTCATTTGGGGTTCTTGGTCGGGTTTGGCAAAAACGACGGACTTGAGGTGGCCCCCTACAGGAAGAAGAAAAATAGATATTGATAAGAGATTATATAATGATATTAGATACAATATTAAAATAAAGCGCAAGCAAGTACAAATATTGCAATGCCAGTTAAAATTTAATGAAATAACCCGGTATGTGGCCTGACATTTGGGTCATCTTGTACAAATAATTTTATGTTGCTGCTCCATTGGCAGCAGTGCACAAGTGTAAACAAAAACGTAACGCTGTCGTCAGTAACACAGCCTTAACAATGGCCCTTCTCATCGACTGCATATTGGTGGGTGATTGGGGGGGACCTCCTCGCAATGTTTGGATACGTTTTGTCTGTACACTTTATAGTATGTGCGGTGATAAACCAGCGAAACCCCCCACACACACTAGGGGAGTACACCACTGACATCACAAACGGGTCAGTGGACAACCTGCTTGCTGTACTGCTTTCTCACTGGCCCCTTACAGGTGGTGAGGTGGATGTCTCGAGCAAAATATGATCGTAGCATTATCCACCAACCCCTCTGCATTTACACGTGTGCATGAAGTGCCTTGAAAATCCAGATTATTTTTCCCCTACTTTCGTCACTAACACTGCCGTCATAACCCTTCTCATCATCGATGATGATGATCGATGATGAGTGACAGAAAGAAGAAGTCTTGCATCAGATGACAAAACACTCGTTAGGGGGACATCGAAATTGACGTGATAAGGTAATCGTGGCCTTTGGAAGGACACTATCACTGCGAGGGATGGATAGCCGATGGTGGAGCCTGATGACGGAATGGCAGCCAAATGAGGCGATCAACAAAGAGGGGAGATGGAGCGATGAGGTCAGCGAGGTGGAACGCTGCATCGTGACACCGTGAGGGGATGAAGAGGACTTGGGGAGGACTGCATAGAGCAGTGTCTAAACCATGGCTACTGCTGCTGTTGATGATTCACAACTCTCAACTGCTAAAAAAAAGAATTAAACTGATGAATGTGAAGAGAGATTTCTAAACCCTAGTGGAATACGAATACAAATCAGAGGTCGGGAGTGGGGGGGGGCTTTGACCTAGAACAAAGTCAAACGCTCACGCATAACTCGCCGGTAATATCCCGCGATTCTTTCCAATTTAGATCAAGTTCTCAATTGACTCATGTGGTGTGGCGCGTGCGCGCGCGTGTGTGCGTGGGATCACAGCGTACTCAGGCCAAGGGCTGTGACTAACCAACCAGCCAGCCGAGCGGACTGACTCACTCTCGCACGGACAAACCCGTGTGCCGCGCGCAAGTGGGCACGTACGGCGCGCACGCTTTGGCGCGTGTTTTGTTCACCTTAATTATTTTGGCCCCGTCTCATCTGACGAGAACCACGTGCTCCTCCGTTGGGTCGGTTCAAAGGGCTCGTCGTGGCAGAAGGCTCGGGAGGTGGTCACGCCCGCGTGTGTGTGTGTACGTGCGTGTGTACGTGCGTGTGGGTATATGTACGTGTGTATGCGTGTGTGCCTCTGTGTGCGTACGTGTGTGTCGACGTGTGTGTGTGTGAGAGTACGTGTGTGTGTGTGTGTGCGTGCGTACGTGTGTGTGTACATGCATGTGTGTGTACATGTGTGCGCGTCTGTGTGCTATCGTGTCGCGGTTAACGCTGCGCTGCGCTATGAACCCGGCCACCCGGGTTCGATTCCCGCTCACGACCCACACCCAGTGACGATTATCTGAACCGGTGCTGGGCCTCTCCTATGTCAACTCAGCCTCAAACGAGTACCTGGTGCGGTGTGTAAACATCGTCACTGGGGAGACAAAGGCGGCCGGGCGTGGTGTTGGCCACCTCACCCCCTCGTGTGCCGTTCCGCGCCTTCATAGGTGCTCGCGAACAGCACTCGCCCCAACAGTCTGTTACAAGGCTACACAGGGTGATCTTTGTGTGTGTGTGTCACGGTCGTGTACACGCGGCCAGGGCTCTGAGCTCCAAAGCTGAAGGCAATTAAGCCCCCCCCCCCCCCACCGCGGAAACGCGAGAGGCCATGAAACACAAATTAGAGAAGGCGACAGCGCTTCGCGAGTGTAATTGTTTGCAGGAGCGCGTTCGTGCGCCGAGCCTGGGCGCATTTGAAATGGGGGAAAAAGCGATGGCAGAGTGGAGCTCCGTGAAATATGGAGCGTATTAATTATGATAATGTCAATTAGGTGTGTCGTGCCCAAAGCCGCCGCCGCCGCCGTAACCCTTGTTCCCGTATACGTTTCACTTTCAGTTTCTTTGAGTTTGGTGCCGTTCAGCGTCAGTTGCCCCCCGGGGCTATTTTACACGGGAGGAGCCCAACAGCAGCAGCAGCAAAAACAAAAAAACATCACAATTGCGGAGAACGCGTAAAGCATGGGGGGGGGGGGGGGGGCCTTAAGGAATATTGCACAACTCGCCTTTTGCCCGTCCAACGACGGGTGTTTTGCGGTAAATCTGAAACTTGCAAGCGAAAAGCAGACCACGACGTCATATATTCATTGCATTAATGCGTGTGCAATTTGTAGGGGCGCGGTGACACAGCGATTTCATTTAAAGGTTATAATCCTTTGTTCTTCACGAAGTCCTTTTTACTTTGATGTCTCAACAGCGTTACGGAGATCACGTGATGACGTGAGGGTTCTGCCTTTGTAGTGAGGGTTGTGAGTTGACGCCGAGGAGGGGGGAGGAGGCGCCTCGCCCCCCCCCCCCCATGTGGAGTGACGTCACCCGCTATTAATGTTGGGGGGGTGTCCATTTGGAAGACGTCGCCTCTTCATGATTATTAATGTGGGGGGCTGTTCGATGTAGAGTGAAATCGCTCTGTGTCACCGCGGCCTTACAAATTGCACACAAATGGATGCAATGAATGTCACGTCGCGGTCTGCTTTTCGCTTGCAAGTTCCAGATGTACTGCAATACACCCGTCCTTGGACGGGCAAAAGGCTGGTATCGGAATGAAGAGCGTTCTGGACAGCAGCAGAGGCGCATCTGAAAGCACTCGAAGACGAGAAGTTTCAAACAACGCGCAGAAAAATATTCACATATTATGATGATGATTAGACTTCCTTTATTCAGGAGAGCCTCACTAAGTCTCAAGGCTGCTCCTTTTTTTCAGGAGGGTCATGCCAGGCTTTCGGAGCAGAGGTGCAGCCTGTCCATCGACACGTGCATCTAACCACCTACGCAACGGCACCGCGTATACAAATATTAAAAACAGTTTAACACGTAGGCTTTCGAGACCAGTATTATTCATAATAAATAAAAAAAATTGTGTTAGATCGCGTTATTTTTTATAAATGTGTCGCAACCCTCCACCACCCGACACGGCCAATCAGTAAAAAACGTGTCACGTTGACAAAAGACAAATAGATCACTACTTTAGCCCACCGGTGTGTTGAAGAGTGAATCCACAACATTTACAATTTGAGTAGTACGATGTTTCGCTGGTAATTACATCCAGCATCTTCGGGCGATTTGCCAGAAGAGTGAAGCGTTGTATTAACTAATACACAACACATTGCAATTTCGTACAGGTGAGTCACATGCTAAGTGGCTGATTACTGATCTATTACATAATTGCATCCACCCCCACCTCCGCCTCTGATCTCGAAACCTGATGGGGTTCAACAACGATGATGACGTCGTCCTGCTGCACGATTTAAGACCGGAAGCAGGTGGTTGGCTTCACTATTCTGGCGAATTGCCCGAAGATGCTGGATGTAATTACCAGCGAAACGTCGTTCTACTCAAATTGTAAATGTTGTGAAATCACTCTTCAACACACCGGTGGGCTAAAGTAGTGAACTATTTGTCTTTTGTCAACGTGACATTTGTTTTACTGATTGGCCGTGTCGGGTGGTGGAGGGTTGCGACACATTTAAAAATAACGCGATCGAACCCAAAATTCTTCATTATGAAATCTTAAAAACGTCTACAACTTGTATCTTCGGTTTAACACGTAGTTATCATAGTAGTAGTAGGACTTTCGCGACCAATATCCATAATAAAGCTTGTTTGGTTAGATCGTGTAAATATGAATGTGTCGTTAAACCCGCCACCACCCGACACAGCCAATTACATGTAATTGCTGGCGAAACGTCGTACTCGAATTGTAAAAGTTGTGGGTTTACTCTCCAACACACCGGTGTGCTGAACTAGTAACGAATTGGCAACGTTTTTCTAGCGCGACAAACCTTACTAATTGGCTGTGTCGGGTGGTGGCGGGTTTAACGACGCATTTATATTGACGCCATCTAATCCGAACACCTCTATTACGAACTGCATTTTCGCTCGGAGGTCATGGCTATGCCGCTGCT